AGCAATAGCCAATAACCATACCTTGATTCGCTATGCCGTTCTTTTTCAGACATGTTTCACAGTAAATTTAATAATATGAAATTTCCGAAATAATAAAGACAGCAATTTTCCGACTTAAAACTATTTTACAGTTTAATTAACGCGACATGTGTATAGGAAATAGCAATATACACAAAAATTTATCATTTAGCTATAATGTCGTGATTTTTTAGATGTGGAATTATCATTATTGTATGTCTTTGTATTTGGACATGAGTCCGCTTCTTGATTGTTATATTCTCGTTATTTTAGCCGTTGTACTCAAATTCTGGAGTTTGTCTTTGTACTCAGTAATCGTTTTAGAATATTGAACCGAATCTTTTTCCTCTTCCACGAGGGACTATTGCTTCCATTTTACTTTTTAGGCCGACGGGATGTTGCATGTCACTACTACTCATCAGTCTTATTCACCTTTTTTTTTCCTTTTTTTTTTTGTATCGTTTGTCCAGTTTTCTTCCATTGAAGCAATGGGATTTTTCAGCACTACCAGACCCAGAGATTGAGCTCACAACTGCCAGCAGGTGACCACCTATGTGTTAACGAACACTTTAATCCACAGTGGTGTAATTTTGGGGCCTTAACCTAATCACTATAGTCAGGATGTGGAATTGATGCGTGCCCTGACTCACAATGTCAAATTTAAAGAGTATCCTTTCTTTCTTCATCAGGGGCTCCCGGATGGAGTTCATCTCTACGCTGGGTCTACTGAGGATGTTTTCATTGACTAACATGCGCGCTGATTCTTTTATTTGTCTTATCGAAGTGAGTATTACATGACATATCGCTTAAGCATAAAGAGGGGAAGGAAGAAATAAATTACGAGAAGGTTACCGAGTACGTCGACAGACACCTGAAGAAGGCCAGATGGTACGATGGCAGAAACATTGTGATTTTAATGTTGTATATTATTCCGAATGGAAAATCATATAATAACTACCAGATGAGATAGATATACAGCACCTATCCACTTTGTCTAACTGAAGCTCAACAGCGACATCTGATTGGTTAAACTAAATTATTATTAAATAGTGGAATAACAAGTGTTGTCAACACTCAGACCAACATTTTTCTTTGAAAATTTGCTTTCTGTTCATAGATAGGTCCACACATTGTTTATCGACATAACTTACCTTTATTTGGGTTCATATCATTAAAGGACTCACAATATGAATCTCCCTATTTCTCAGTCTTTTAACACCCTTCTTATATAATCCCTAAATAGACAAATTTTCTAAAATTTGATTAGGAGAGAAAAATAATCGGGATGATTGGTGTGCTCTGAGTAACGAGCATATATGTACAACGGCGCTAATGTGCATAGGTAAAAACGACAATTTTAAATACAGATTTTCAAGGCAAACATATATTCTTCGCTAGTTGGCATGATGTTGCACGAAGCTAAATAAAATTATCCATTAATAGTAATAGGAAAAGAAAAATGTTTGACAAAAGCGAACAATTTTTAATGTTTCAGAACGCCGTTTTCAAATTGTTCAGTCGAGTTTTTGTGGACCGGAAATGAATCCTGTGTACGCAAACTCTGATGTTTTTTTTCCATTCTTTCTTGAGAGTTATGTGACCAGTGGCCACCACATTTAAGACAACATCTGGGACATGTTATGCACTGTAGGGTCACAGAAGTGTCTTTCTAGAATACATTTTTCTGAATTAATAAAGTTGTTTGTCAGGAGGTCGGTACACACGCCCGTCATTGTGCAAAAAGACGTTAATTTTGTCCTCTAAACTATAAACCCATTGTTGTGCCATAGTACCTATTATTTGGTAATGGACTCTCCCATAGATAATAAGTAGGAGTGGCAGTGGCAAGTCTGCAAAACGGTGTTGAGAACGTCAGTCAAGATTCGGACATTTGAAGTACCAACCATCACAACTAGATTTGCTGCGTCATTAACTATTATTTTTCTAAGTTCCTAACGTTTTGTACGACTTATTAGAAATACAAGCCTCCACTGTGAAAATACTCCACAACACCCATGTAACTCTTAATTTTCAAAACAGACTAATGGTTAGCAAACATTGATAGTGAATTCGCTCCTCACTAAAGGCTACTGATTGGAGTTCTTTTATGAATATATGAGAAAAGAATTTAATAAGCAGTGAGTGATAACTTGGTTGTATTTTGGGGGTCCTTAAATGAGTTTCTTTAAAATCTTGACTAGTCTAAAATTAAAGTAAAACCTTTTTTTTAATTTACAACCTTCACAATAATTACGCATCTTTCCATGCACAGTCTAAAAAATGAAAAAATAAAAAAACTACATCGAGATTCTTCTCTGTAGTTTCCAGTAAAAGAAGATGATGTTAACAGGGCCGGATTGGGATTTTGTAAGCTCCTGGGTGATTCACGCCAAAAAACTCAGAGGTCTGAATCGAATTTAATTTCCAAAAAGAATTTATCTGTGGTGACCCCAATATATAGACATACCAAAGTAAATTTTGTGTCACCCACAAAAGTGAAAAGACGGTAACGTCAAAGCCACCAAGTGCAGAATCGAACCTCAAACGATGTCAGCGGGCGCACCAAAATAAACAAGGAAGTGAACCCGGTTAGACTTAGGATATCCACACACAAGACAATCAGATAACAGGAATTTATATAAAGGCATAACCTACGAGGAGAAAAGGAGGATCCCATGCATTCTCAAAAAAAGATCGAACGTTCGAAGAAATACCAGAAACTACATACCCTCGATTCGACAGACATTAATTTGACGGAATTTCAAATTAAATAAATAATATTTTGACGCATGACGTTACGCTACGAAGCATGAAGCCCACAGTAATATTTTGAAAAAAATAAATCTAAAAATTATTACGTTTTACAAGAACATGTGAATCAGTAAAATTTAACGTAAAGTGCTCGGTATCATAAATAGAGCAACAATAGCCACGTCGCTCTTTAGAGTCAGATAAAGCTATTGAATTCATATAAATATAATATCTGTAAATGAATTCAATAGATTTATCGAATTGTAACATGTCAGTCGAACTTTTCTTTATCTTGAGTATATATATATATATATATATATATATATATATACACAATAATGCTATCCCAAATTTCCAGGAACCGTTTTTATAAAGGCAGGTAAACTTTAGGAACTTATTCTGCTTATTTTCTTTTCAATCTGAGAATGGATAATAAATCACTTTATATAGTATCAAAAAGAATTAAACTATTTTGATAATTTAATAGAAAAAAATTATTTATTGAGATATTCCCACATTGAAATTCTGTTCTCATATTTTTGTTCAGAAGCTTCATGCGTTTTTACTCCTGTATCATCAATTGGGTTAGGGTTTCTTAACTGCAGACCCAAATACCTTTCTCTTTCGCGCATATATATATATATATATATATATATATATATATATATATATATAAATAAATTCCAGGTGAACAGTAACCGAGCACGGCTAAAAGTTTAATGCGTTTTCACGCAATAACTCAGGTAGTCAGCAACTGTCTTTTTGTGAAAATGGGCATTTTATACCCTACTCGGCAAATTCAAGACGAGGGTAGCTGATGTGTACGTAATATGCACGCACCAATCATGCTCTGCATTTGAATATGACATTGAGCAGCTTTTTCTTTGGTCTGGGTTTTTTTTTTTTTTTTTGGCACACTCACTTAGAACTTTGTCTTTCGTAATTTTATCAAACTGCAATAGCACTGTTTACTGTAGTACGATATTTTCTCAACAGACAGCATTACATTGACGGCACTTAGGGAAGAAATTGAAAATGCACGTGCAACAATCCCACTGGAATTTTGGTCAACGTTGTCGAAGCAGTAGATCGCCGTTCTAATAAATGTCTGGAAGTTAAAGGCCACCATTTTAGCATCTCTTTGGATGGTAGAGTCCAAATGTAACTTGTATTAATCTCGTGATGTCTGAATAATTTAGTATTTCAATATCTATACAAGTTTTTCTTTTCTTGAAATGTGTATACAATTTTTTGGCGGACTCTCTCTCTCTCTCTATATATATATATATATATAAACGAATGGGTAAATGTAAGTAGCTATACGATCGGGCGATTAGAACCCCCCTTGATTTTCCAACGTCCCTTCTTGTTTACTTACGTTGTCAAAATCAGCATCTCTCTAAATTAGAATTTATATCTCTTATTTCGAATCTTATTTTCAATCTAAAATATTAATCCGGGCCTAAATTCAAAATTAGACTACAATTTATTTAAATATTTTAACAACAATAATATCCCACCCCAACAATAAAGTAGCTCGCGAAAAACCAAAAATTAAAAAAAACCCCCAAAAAACCCGGTGTCAACCCAAAATAAAAATAATAATTCCAGCATTTGAAAATTGCTTCGGCATGAAACTCGGAGTTATATATATATATATATATATATATATATATATATATATATATATATATATATATATATATATATATATATATATATATATGTTTGAATAAAATTACAATAGTATTGCTATAGAACGTTTTTAAACCGTTTTTAATAGATACTTTACGGCCTTCACAAACGAAAAACTATTTTCACTTAAGGTTTGGTGGCTCTGCAGCTGCCCTCTGGGCTGTAGCCCCCTAAAGCCTATCCCTTAACCCGACACTCGGTACTAGTCAGAATGTTACGGCCTTTCTTATCTGTGAACTTAGTCCAACTATTTATATGTTTTTTCTGAAATGAATATCTTGTCCATCTTTCAACTATTTATTTGTTATTTAAAGTCAGAAAATAGTTTTAGATTGTAAGAATTTCTTTGGAGATAATAATTATTTACTGATACAAGGCCAACTAAATTAACTCATAGCCGGGAAGGGGGAAGAGGTGGATTCATGCCTTTTCCCAAGGGTATTTGCGAGTAAGTGAAGATAATGAACTCGACTGGAACTCGGTTTTCCGATTTCTAATTCCAAGCCGTTATCCATTACACCACCCGCACACCCGAGCTTACAACATCTGGTATTCTTAAGTGGTCACCCATGTAGGTACTGACCAGTCTAGCTGTTGCTTAACTTTGGTGATCGTACGTGAACTGGTGTTTCAACCTGATATGACCGTAAGTGATGAAGCATCCAGGAGGACATTGCACTATGAATGACATATCTTGATGACTGCAACAAACATAAAAGCTATCCAGATATTTTTTCACCTATCCACACGAAAAAAGTACTTGCATTCGTGGATTTGTAAAATAAATACGATTATGACTTATGGACGCTGGTTAGCCAAATCTTGTGATGAGCGACATCTGACAAACGAATGAAAATTTACCATACAAAGAATTACTTTTTGTTTTTACATGTGGGATTAACGTTTAAAAATAGATTTACATGCTTATTAAAATTTTGCAGCTGTAAAAAAAAAAAAAAGAAAAAAAAAAAAAGAAGGAAAAAAAAAAAGAAATCCAAAACAAAAACAAAACACAATAGCGGTGTGCTGTAGGTAAGTTTCCGGATCCAGTTTAACCGGAAGTCTCGTGATGGATAAAGTTAAAAATTAGTTCATACGCCGACAATAATAGCCTAAAACTTTGCATTTTTCGCAGAGGTGTTGAGGGTGTACTTTGCTTTGATCAGATACGTCAAGGCCGTCCGGTTTCTCCAATGGGCGCTGCAAATAGAATGCTGACGTCACAAAAAAGTTTTCAATGGGAATTTTTTTTAATTCGAAAATTGAAAGAAAAAAGAAAAAGAAAGAAAAAAGAAAAAAGAAAGAAAAAAGAAAAGAAAGAGAAAAGAAGAAAAAAAGAAAAAGAAAAATTAAAAATATATCTGAATTTCTTAGATGAAAAAATTTATTTATTCATTTTGTTTTTTCTTTTTTTCATTTTATTTTGCCTGTGCAATCTACCTCCGTTAACCCCCCAAAAAAAAAACAAACAAACAAAAAAAAACAAAACAAAAAAAACGGTTTGTTAACAGGACGGCTTTCCTTTGACACCACTATTATTTTAGCTACCTTCACTCCCTGGTAATGTCTATTGCTTTAAAAAGCGATTGTATTATGAAACATATATGTTTAGGTTTTGCTAAACTTCTAATCATCGCTTCTTTTTAAAACAATAAACATTGCCGAGGAGTGAATGTAGCTAAAATAATAGCGGTGTCAAGGAAAAACATCATTTTTTTGCGGACACGAAGGTTAAAGATTGCCTTTTTTGTTTATCTCAATGCTCGGCCTGTTTTTTAAATTTTTAAATTTTTTAAATTCTACGAGCATTAAGCAGTCTTATTTGAAATAACCTGTGAGTTGAAATATCGCCAGAAACTTTGATGTCCCGTATCCTACATCTTTGGAAGTCTGTCTAACATAGTGCTAAACAAATTAGACCCATCAGCAGTCGGAATTCAAATTTAGTCATATAACTAAATTTGAATTTTGCTTTGCTACATTATTCTTTAATTCATTTACTCCATTTTATATTGTTTGTTTATAAGAATTAAGACACGCTTAATTGTCCATACTTCTGTGACGAAGCATTCATTTTCAATAAAATTTCATTTTATTTTTGAAAGTAACATCCAAAAAGATTTGAACTCTGACCCGTATTCTGCAAGTCTTTCTGACATGGGTGTCCTCTATTCAATAGTCATGAAGGTGATGCATCAAGTCCGATTACAAAGTACACGTATATAGCTACTTCCTTCGACAAGAAGATCTTTCACGCCATACTGTTTATCTTGTAGTAGTAGTAGTAGATGTAATAGTGTGACATTTTTATGAATTATTTTTTATTATCATTTCTGATTAGTTTTTATTTTATCCTGTACATTTATGATTATTTTTTTCTTTTGTTGCTTAATTGCAACGTTCAGGTCGTTACATTCTACGATCGGTAGAGGGAACAGTATAGATTGGAAATAAAAATGCAGTAAAAACTTGTCAACATTAAAAATAGAAAAGGCAAGAACATATAAAAGCAGTTTAAACATCAATAAGAAATTTAAACTTAGTTTACTCACGTAACAAATACAATTTATTTTCATAAAAATTATTGAATTATATTTATTTTATTGTCCCAGACTCTAGACATTCGGCGCAGGGTGCTGTTATTAGAAGATTTAATAGAAGGAAGAAGGTAGATTTTGTTAGAATAGGAAAAAATCACGACTTCGTCTTGTGACGAAGATTCAGTGAGGAAATAAGATTTTCTTTTGAAAATGGGCAAGATTTTTATGATATCTTAAAAATTAAACAAATTTATATTTCATTCATACAACATAAATAATATTTTCACCCTTGTCCTTCTGACCTCATTTTAAATTGACGCTTTCTTTTTTTTCTATATATTGTGAGTATTTTGATTAGAGTCCATATTTTTTTTTATCTCAAATGAAAATTTGGGATTTTTTTCGACAGATTTCAATTAAAGGTATCTGTCGTCACTTTTTAAAATGCGTTTCTTGTGGGTTCAGTTACCACTTTTTAATTTACGTATTGGCGATCATTTATAAAGTTAGATGCGGTATTTAAAATGTTTAATTTGTTTTTTAATTAATTGTTTTTTTCAGACAGCTAAATAAACATCCATATGTATGAAAAAGCAGGAAAATTAATTAAAAAATTAATGACAGATAATCCTTAATAATTAATTAATTTTTCAGCTCCCAAAATTAAATTAAATTTAAAGAACTAAAATTATGTTTCAGAATTATAGTTTATGGGAAAAGAAAGCGTCAAAAAGAGATGGTTAATAATAATAATAATGTCTAGTTTCATAATTAATGCCCTTGTTTTATAAATGGCGTTGCTCGGAAAACTTTGTTCGGGAAAGATATTGGAAAATAAATTGAGCAAGTAGACAACATTTCTATTTTTGTCTATTTTACTCAATTCATTCAAGGATGCATCTTCTCACCGGAATTATTTAAACTTTACAATGAAGCTAACCTAAGAGAACTAGAAGTTCTACCAGGATTTACTATTGGTGAACACAATCTTAACAATTTAAGATATGCAGATAACACCGTGCTAATGGCAGACAAAAAAATTACTGCAGGAACTCCAACACATGGAAGTAAAAGGAAATATGAAGAAAAGACTAACTATTAATTGTAAGAAGATATAACGTATGGTTGCGAAAAAGAGGAAAAACCTAAGATGCAAGCTACGAATTGGAGTTATCAGAATCGGACAAGTACAGAAATTTAATTATCTGGAAAGTGTTTTAACAGACGACGGAAAATATGACAACGAAATCCGAAGGCGCATTGGAATAGTGAAAAGCTAAGAAAAGTATTAAGAAACAGGAAAATTTCATTAGAAACCATGAAGAATGTGCTGAAGCGCTATGGAATATCTAATCTCCTATATAGTGAAAGCTGGACAATTTCTTCACAGATTGTTGTGGAGTAATTTCGCAGTATTTGTACTAGATCGGTCCTAAAATAGGTTCGACGTACAAAACATTAGGAACTTGATATAATAGGTATTACGCAGAGTAATCTTGTTGTGGTCGCTGACTACTTTCGTATTCGACTACTGTCGACTGACATCGACTGACCGTCGTTTCTATTACTACTCCAACTTATATTAGGTGGGAGAGTCTATTAACTATAGAATAGGTGTGTTCCACTATAACACAGATGCAGAGGTAACTTGAGACAACAGAATGTAGTTCTACAGAAGGATGTCGATAATATGTAGTTTTAAGGAAAATGGAAATAAAAGGCCACTTATAATTCATAGCAGAAAGAGAAAGTTGAATGAGGAAAGAAGGCTAGAAGAATTTGAGACTAACGGGGATATATTAAAGAAAAAAAGAGCAGAGAGGAAACAGCAGCTAACCTTCCTAACGAGCTTGTGCAAATGGATGGTAAAACATTTTTTTTTTATTCAATTCACCCCATGAAAGGCGATAATGATGTTGCTGAAACAAGATTGTGGTTTATTTGAATGTAAAACGACCATCGCTATGAGAGGAAATCAGCCTTTCATTAATGAATCTAAATTACAGTTTCTGTAGGATGGATGTTATTGTTTTTTTATATATAGAGATTTTGGTTTCGTAAATTTCAATCTGATTTTATTTAAGACCTTAAATCGGACAATTCTCGATAACCGATTGATTTCAATTTTAAATTGTACATTCAAGACGGCAACTGTAGCCGAAACAAAAGTTACAATGAAGCATTCATGTGGTAGAAACAGAATCTATGACAAAAAAACAAAAAAATACTCAATGGACAAAATCTCAACCTCAACAGTGGACAAAATCTCAGATGCATATAAAAATCTCATATAAAAAGAAACAAATTTAACATTGAAGGAACTTTTTATTCAAATTTTAATCTCGAATTGAAACAATAATATTAATACACAACTTTTTATCTGTACGAGAAAGATCTATTTCTGTCGGGAACTTCATCAGTTTATGTGTCCACTCCGTTTGCTATAAAAATTCATAGTAAATCGATTCGATCTCCAAAAACGTTTTCTGACAACTCTACGCTCACATATTCGATATATTTCAAATTTATAGTTTACGGAGTCTTAGTCTCCCATAAAACTCGACTTTATGTGAGGAAAGCCTTTGTTTTAGAAGGGTGATTTCTAAAGTTTGCGCATAATTCGATCTCCTCGATTTGTTTATACAAACAGAGGAGATCGAATTATGCTGAATTAACGGCTTAAATAAATATTTTTTCGTGAAATAACTTTCTTGTACGTATTGTAGGCACGTTCGTTTGTCGCTAAATAAACAGCATAGCACGATGAAAAAAAGACTCAAAACTTAGTAAAAACAAAGTTTTATCGTCAAAATGTTCATGTTATTATGAAGAGGAAAAAAAAAACAAAGTATTTTTTTAGTTATTTTTTTAAAATCTTTTAAATCTTTCTAACATGTTCGAAATTTTGGTTAAAAATCCTGGTTTTTTTTTTTTTTTTTTTTTTTTTTTATGTCTGCGAGGTAAGTAATTTTTGCAATGAAGTGTTTTTGCGCCTT